TTTATACACGAAGGATTGAATGTTCTACGTCTTCTGATTGGTTAACCTTCTATTGGTGGACTATAAAGTGAGTCAAGTCATTTTGGCTGGCTCACTAGTTACATAATGTATCCAAAAATTGTAACAATCTTTCCCGGCATATCCGCATGTAATGCGCCTCTTACTCTGTAAGAGTGGCTCTCAGGCCTTGTACAGGATGCATTTTCGTCATTTTCTGCTCTTTTATTTCTGAAATGAAAAAAAGTACGCCGCACAAACTTCAAAAGGATATATACCGTTCAGGAAGACAGTTGTATTTCTGAGTTTCGACAAATTCAAAATTAGAGATTTTAATATGGAAGACGGAAAACGTTTTGGTAGACCAGCGGTTACTAGCGATGACCAAACAGAAGCGCTGATTAGAAATTATCAAGCTCACACGACACGGTATATCACAAAGTATTCCACCTATCTCATATGAGCCCGGGCAGTTAGACGCAGTGTAATGATTAGCAAGCGTGTCTGGCTTTAGGAGTTACGACTAGTGAGTTCGATTCTCACTGAGTGCCCCAGACTTTCGAGTTAGTGTCACATCTAAACTACGGTTAGAAAATCGTTTAGGTAGTACTTCGACGCGGTGCAATAGTCAGCCAGCTGGTCGCGGAGATCAATTACGACCAAGTAGCGAGTTCGTTCCTCTATGGGCGCTCTACACTTTTGGCCTTGTGTCACGTCTAAGCTACGCTTAAGAAATCATTTATAGAGCACTTCGAATTAGTGTAATGATGAGAAAGCTTTTCACGCTAGATCACTGCTGGATAGAGAGTTCGATGCTCACAGGGTCCTCCCTAATCTAGGCCACGTACCACAGCGGGCACTTCGACGTTACATGTTTGTCTCGCTAGATTAGTGATGACTGAGTAGTAAGTTTAATCCTCATTGAGTGCTACATACTTTCGCCCTTGCGACATATCTAAGCTATGCGTAGAAATCTATTGCCGTATCTTGTATGAGCGTCGTCTGTCAATTTAAAATTACCAGGGGAGTGAATCCCTGTGGTGTTTAGCCAAATTCATTCTTTGCAAATTTTCCCAATTAACCTATGAAATGCACAATAAACGACACTTTGTTGGCTAGAAGAAGCGATACGCTAATTCTTCATCTAGTTACCTACCAAAAAACTTTGATGCTTTATTGTTTGTTTAACTTATAATACATCCCGGGGAAATACGTAATTACTTTTCGAACACCCAAATAGAAGAGATGATAAAATATTTCTAAACATCGTTGTTTCACGGCAAGCAAGGCGGGAAGCTACTAGTACACAAGGGGTTACAGAGAGTTGGAGCGAGAGCAAATAAGAGTGATAGAGGAAAGGACGAAGAGAAGGATAGGGGATAGATCAAGGTATCTGGAGACGTCGATTGACATTAAATTTGAATAGTTGGAGATGATAGCTGTTGCTCGAATTTTTGGGTACCCTGGACCAGTGAGCCAGCCAAAAAGAGCTGACTCATTTTATAGTTCACCAATAGAAGGGTTAACCAATCAGAAAGCTCAAAATATTCAATGCGACGTGTATAAAGGCGGCCATGTTTTTTCCCGAATATTCACTGGCAGCCTTTGATATCGAAGACTGAAGAATTACGGAACAGCTGCTGGTGGTATTGGCGATAGAGTCAGATTCAGTAGAGTGTCTGACTCGAGAGTATTAATCTTTAACTTTGTTTCATTGAACAGATTACGTACTGCCCTGTATTCTATATTCATAGACTATGGTGAACATGGTTAACAGCTATCAGGGAAACAGGAAAAGACAAGAGAGTTCCACAGGCGAGAAGTGCGAGACATGAAGCTATTAGCGTAGAAGAGACGGCTACATTTATGTTTCGACAGTGAAACGGTGAGAGCGATATGACAGCCTAGTTGAACGGTTAATTTTCATGAAGTCTGGGAACCAGCGAATGCAGCTCATTGGAGCAGTTACCGTGAAAGCATTTGTAAAAAAAACAGAGGGAGGCGACGGCACGTCTGTGAGAGAGCAACTGCAGACGAGATGCCAGATCAGGGCCAATTTCATTGCATATCCGTCTCTGGATTTTATCAAGGACCTTGAGACAAAACAGAAGGGGCTCCAGACCATATATGGCAGTAATATTCCATGCAAGGGCGAATGGTTGATTTGTAGATTTGAAGGTTCGACTCCGGCGAGAAAAATTTCCTGGCGCGGCACAGGGAGCCAACGGTAGACGAAGCTATTGACTCAATGAGTTCCTGACATTCAACTAACATTTTGTCAGGTTTGCTGGCTCGCGTTAAATAGCTTTGAAATATGCAATTACTTCACGATCTGCCTGATATTTTGGAGTTATGCTGAAATAAAAATGTATATTGGCCTTTGTTTCCGTAATAAAACTTTACATTCGCGAAATAATGTATAATCAATATCTTTAATCTGAACAGATATAAGCTAACAATTATACAATATATGTCATATAGATACGACTGTTACGAAAATGTGCTATCCTACGTATTTTATCATTCCAGCAGGTGTCGTTTATCTCGCATACAGGAAGATGATTGTTTAGTGCGACCACGTCGTTACTGAATGTGACACAAGGTTAGTTTAAAGTGAGTTTCAAGCCAATACCGCATAAAAAAATACCAGTGCGAATTAGACACTACAATAACGTTAATATTGTACTAACACCATTAAAAATTTATTATGAAACTGTTGATTTGCATAATAAAATCAGTCATAATGTGCAGGTTGCGATTAATAAATTGTCGTCTAAGTTAGCGCAAAAATGAAAACAATACTGACATCTCATAGCAACAGATATATCTACACAAAAATATAAAAAAATATGAACGAGTAATTATCACAACGTTTCGGCCGTTGTACGCTCCGGCCTTCTTCAGGTGGTTGGAATTTCGAACTGAGCCATTTATTTCGCTCACTGGGGTAGACTTTATCTAACGCCTTTATCCACTGTGCCCATGTGTCCTCAAGGATAAAGGCGTTGGTTAAATCCAGTGACAGGACCCAAAGAGTGTGAGTTCAATACCCGGTTAAGGCAGTGAAGAACTTTCAGAGTGAAAATTAACAGGAAATAACTGATAACTGACATCCATCAAACATGGCACGTGGAACTAGAACAGTCTACCCCAATGAATGAAATAAAGGCTTCAGTTCGACATTCCAACCACCTGAAGAAGGCCGGAGCGTACAACGGCCGAAACGTTGTGATAAATATGGCGACAAATATGAGGACAATTGTCCGAATAATGTAAATAATGTACATAATACCTCATCTCAGAAATATAGACAGACTATGAAGAGTAACTTTATTCAATGAAATCGCCACGTACTCCAGACGACTTCGGAATCTCCTGAAACTTTTTTGTACTCTCTCCGTGTTTAAGTTGATGAATACTGCCATAAACCTTGCCTTCAGTTCATCTTTGGTGTTACAAGGAGTTTTACTGGCTTCTCGCTCAACTGCGTCCCACACATAATAATCAAGAGGTTTGCAGTCTGGGGGAGTTAGATTGTCAGGGGTAATGTGGACGCAAAAATTGTCTGATTGACATGACTGGGTCCTCCTGCTTGTGTGTTACCAGGTGAAGGAACTTCTAGGAGTCACCCTCTCCACCCTGGGTAGCACTACTTCCACAAGGTACGATCAAAGCCACTTTGAGGCTCATTAAGTCTGAGACCCTCACCAACAAAGTCAGGAAGTGATCAGAGTGAGTTTTCCATGTTGCCATACCTTCGTAATCACCATTGGACCCATCCAAATCTTTACGAATCCTCTGCTTTGTCCTCAGATTGACACCGAAACATCTTGAAATGTTTATATTAGAGTTTCCGACGCGAATGCCGTTTCCAAATTTCTATCGGAATGAATAGCATCATGGTGCTCTTTTTCTCCCGGACAGTGCCCAACTGACCCTACTATACTGTGCAGTCGGCAACATCAAAAACAAACAACGCGCATGCGCGAAATTAAAAATATAAAATTGCGACTATTTACCCATCGCACTCTGTAATGTAATAAAAAGTGATTGAAGGGTCGTTTTCACCACTGGCCATAGCCATCTTAATATCTCTTATTTATTTGTCGAGTCAAAGAGAGGTATGTTCTACTCTGCCTACCTTTTCAAAATAAAAAAAAAATATGAGTTTTTTTTAGATGCAAATCTTTTCTATAAAGTATTGACATAAAAGCCGATAATATCAGTGCATTTGCATATCGATGATCAATACAGATTAAAGATCAAAGACGATCATAAAAAATAAGAAATATCTGATCGGTAAACACGGAAATTCAATGGCGTCACCAATGACCTCGTCACTTGATTTAGAAATTCTTCGTCTGTTTTTTTTTTTTTTTTCAGTCTGCTTTACTCGGTCTTCTTTCTAGTAATTCTTCTTCTTGATTTTGCCATTGTTATTTTTCCCCCTCTCTTCTAGAACTTCTTCATTTTTTTAAATTATTTTTCTTCTTTCTAATCATCTGTTTTAAGTTTTAATTTTGTTTGCTTTTGCTGTCATTTCTTTTATTTTCATTATGGTTCTCCCGCCCCCTTGACGATACGAACTTTATTCTTCCTTACTTTCATTGTTTTTTTTTTGTTCGTTCGTTCGTTCGTTCATTCTTTCTTTATTTCTTCCATCTTTTTCTCTTCTTTCATTCTTTCTTTCTTTCTTTCTTTCTTTCTTTCTTTCTTTCTTTCTTAGCAAATGTTCGGCCTGTCAAAAAAGATGAAATGTTTCTCTCAAATGTAAAGACGAAATCTGTATCCGTCATTAGAGTTTTCCTTTGCTGTAAACCAAATAGTGGATTTTTTTTTCTTTTGATCCTTTTCTTGTTAGTATTTTTCCGTCTCTAATGTTCTTTTTTTCTTTCTTTCTTTCTTTCCTTCTTTTCTAACTTATCTAATATTCTTTCGTTCTTTCTTTCTCTTCTGACTCAGTAATGTTTTTTCTTTCTGTTCTTTCTAGCCCGTTCTCTATAATGTTATTTCTTTTTTCTACCATTTGTAAATACCTTTCTACTATTCTTTCTTTCCTTTTTTCATTTATTCATTCATTCTTTCTTTCTTTCTTTCTTTTATACTCTCAGTCATGTTCTTTCTTTTCTACCCTATCTTTCCTTCTTTTTTCTATCTACTATGTATAATCTTACTCTATCTACCTTTTCTTTCTGTCTTTCTAGATGTACTATGCAATGTTATTTCTTTTCTTTACCTTTTCATTTCTTTCTTTCGTTTTTCTAACAACCCTCTTCAATATTATTTATTTTCTCTGCCTTTTCAAATTTTCTTGCTTTATTTTCTTCATCCTCTTTTCTTTGAAATACGGAATTTCACTTCAATTTCTCATCTTTTTCCCGCTTTCTTTTCTACTTGATAGTTATATTCTTCGAAATGCATTTATCTCTTAATTTGTCATCAATCATATTTACTTATCCACCTTAGTCTTTTTCTTTTTTCTTCGACTTTTTCTTGTAATTATTGTTGTTCTGTTTTTTTTTTTTAATTTATCTTCTATCACTTTCTCTCTTTTAATTTTTATTATTTTCTTTGTTCTTTTCTCCTTCTTTGTATTTTCCCCTTTCTCTATCGTTTGATCTTTTTTTTTTTGTTTGTTTTTCTGTCACTTTTAACTCTCTGTGTTAATACTTTTCTTTTCTTTTCTTTTCTTTTCTTTTCTTATCTACTTTCAACCTTTCTTTCTTTAAGTTCTATTCTTCCATTACACTATTCTTTTTTTCTTTTCGCTTGTTATCCTTTTCCATGTTTTCTCTTCTTCTTTCTTTCTTTCACTTCTTAATTATCGTCGTCTTCTTTGTAAACACCCACGCCGTAACTTAAAAAAAAAACAAAAAAAAACTCTATTTAAAAAACATCATCACGACAATAATTTTTTTTTCCAAACAACTCCCAACTGATGTTATCAATTACATCTTGAACAATAAATCTCTCGTTAAGAAATCGATCATCGAATAAACAAGTGTATTGAACACAAAGCGCGGCGAGAACACACAGAAAAAGTTCTGCGGAAAAAGAGAAATATGATCCTTTTTCCCCTTGAAATCTCCATCGCTCCCCTCCATGGAATTCAAATACATTTTACACTTTTATCAACGCTACAGGTAACTATTTGTTTTGTGACTGATCCTGTTTAATAGCATATACGATGCAAAATTTATGCCATAATATATCGTATTTTGATGGCGTGTAAGACTCTCTTATAAGGCCCCATAAACCGCATATTATGATAACATATAACAGCTAATTCTATTGATTATAACATCGTAATTTGTCAGCGTATAAGACGCACTTACGGTGCCTCATGAGCCTCAAATTATGATGACACATAAGTGATAATTTGATTTCATAAAATATAGTCTCTTGATGTCATATAAGACGCACCTATGATGTCCCATTGTGGACTCGTCCAATATCCTTACCTTTCCAACCCTAACAAAAGCACAGTCCACATCTTACGCCTACGTACCTAAAAAAAAAAACTTCAACCAATAAAACGGCAAGAAACGAAAACAAACAACCCCATTGGTCAATCACTTGAAGTTCACGTGCAAAACAGAAATTGCGCCAAAATCAAGTGAGCCACTTTTGGAAATTCAAACGATATAAAAATAAACGTAGACAGCCCAAGACAGTCAGTCTCACGAATTCGCAGAGTACTTTCCAATATACTCCACGCCACTACGAACCACAATTTTGCCGCGCACGAAGATACATCGCTGACTCATATTCGATCATTCATTAATCAACTCCGTGAACACTTTTCTCAATTTTGCTTATGTACAGTGAATTAAATTCACTACTTTAAAATAAGTAAACATCAACGAACATGCAACATTACGAAAACATCAACTACGTTTAAGGGTAGATCACTCTAAAAAACTCTTTCCAAAAGACACTTATAATTCACAATTACAATTATTGACACAAACAAAACAAAAAGACTGCGAATCAACGAACAATATCAACAAAGAGACATTCACAAATCTAACAATTACATACACATTTCGTCCACACGACACACACTGATTATCCAATCTGTATATTGTTAAATTGTATATAAATGTTGCATTGATTTCTAAATTGCATATGTCTCGTTTTCAATTACATTTTTGAATTTCGTTTATTTATTTGTTTGGGATGCAGCAAGACACGCAACCAACTCAAAATTCCTTCTGATTCTTTCTTAAATAATTAACAACTCTACACGTCCCCAACACCATCAACGTAAGTGTAAGCTGTCATAGAAGAGCTATTTTTATACTATATAACACACAGTTTTGATGACGTCTCAACACCCGTATGAGGTCATGTAAGACACTTTTTGATAGCAAATAGATCCATTGCTTTCCTAAATTTTCGAATAAAATTACCTTGAATTGGGACGAATAACGTACAAGAAAGAATTTCCTTTAACGTCTAATGTACTACGCAACATTTTTTCGCGAAATATGTTCGGTTAATTTGGTGGTCATATAGTGATTTTCTAAGCCCGGCTTAGATATGGCACAAGGCACCCAGTGAGGATCGATCTCATTATTGATTCCTAATTGACCTAGCAATACAAGCTTTCTAACCATTACACCACGTCGAGATGCCCATAGTGATTTTCCAAGCGTAGCTTAGATGTGGCACAAGGCCGAAAATATGGGGCACCCCGTGAGGATCGAACCATTAAACCACGTCTAGGTGCCCAAATTGGAGGTCATATATCTAGTCGGTTGATCGACGACTCTTCCATCTTGAACGTTCTGTGTATCTAACAATAAAAAGAAAATTCCTATTTGTTACTGACTACAAAATAGGAGTAATAATCTTGTAATTTCCTTACGCATAAAGACGTGGCCCGAAGCAACAGGGATACAATTCTGCAGGCGGGTGCTAAGATTACCATCGACGAAACATATGAGAAACGAGGGACTTAAAGAAAATGACCACAAGTATTACTTATACTTACTTGAAATAAAAAATAAAGAAAGTTGAGATACCGGAGAAATATATCAAGGAAAGAAGATTTGAAAACTTTAAAACTCACAGGATATGCTAAAGCAAGGGAGAGTAAGAGGAGATGTGTTTTTGTGAATCGATTGTAGAGCAGGGAGAAGACGGGATGGTAAAAAGTCAAATATTGCATGGAGCTACAAGGGACAGGATGTTGTGGAGAGGTACGCTCGGACAAAGCCTGAAAGTAAAATTGTTTTGTTTTATTATTGAAGTAAAAAACGTGTGTATCAAGAAATTTGCAGTGTTGGTGTTGGTGTTTGTTGACTGAATTGTATTATGTTCGCTATTATTATTATTATTGTTGTTGTTTTTGTTGGTGGTGGTGGTGGTGGTAGTGTTGTTGTTGTCGTTGTATAAGTTATTTTGATATTTATATTTTTCCTATTTGTTGCTTTTTAACCGCGCACATACACACACAGATATATTGAGGAATAGATTTTTTTATTTAGTAATGAGATATATTTTATTTTATAGTTTAAATGTTATTTTTTGTGGATCCCCTTATTTCAGTAGATACTCTGTTTACTTATTAAGCAGTATATTTATTTATTCTCATCTACCGGACTGAATACTCGAGTAATCTCATTAGAAAAATATGCTATCTCTGCATAAATATATATATATATATATATATATATATATATATATATATATATATATATATATATGTGTGTGTGTGTGTGTATAAAAAAAGAAAAGAGAAGCTGCACAGGTTTTTGGTTGTAATACGGATTTTCTAACATATGTTATACTTTATTTTTCTTATTTTTTGCTACACGCGTTTGGGGTTACCATCTTCATCAGGCAAAGAATGGTTATTTCCACCTATTATTTAAGGAAATTATTTTTCTTATGCTTTTCCTTATTTCTTCTCCACACATATATACGCATTGTTTTATTATACGGTAATAGTATATATACACACGCACTTTGTATGGTGTGTAGGATTCATGTGTTGGTGTATGTGTGTGTGTGTGCGCGCGCGATCTCTTTGGTGTGTGGTCCATCTACTGTATGTGTTTTTGCTAGTATGTTGTATATATGGTCCGACTAGTATGTTTTTCCACTATGTGTGTATTGTGTGTGCTTATGTGTGTAGGGTTATGATTTGTGTAGTTCTGGTTTAAATTAGTAAGAGAAGTTATACATATATATATATATATATATATATATATATATGTGTGTGTGTGTGTGTGTGTGTGTGTGTGTGTGTCTGTATCTGTGGTAACTATGATTTGGCGTTTCCATACGAGAAGGATTTGCGGTTCATTGAACAACCATTTAGCGTTATTTACGTCCGAACCTCATAAAACTTTCTCTTAAAACTTATTTTCTGAAGAAGATGACTGGCGCGTCCACTTATTCTAATCGATCCTTCTTGTATTGATGTGATTTTCTTTTCTGACCTTTTGTTTAAGGTAATGTGGAAGCACAACATCTTCATTATGTCATTATTTTCCCTTCTAGTTTACATATGCTATCCATTTTAGTTGTCGCTATTGTTGGAAGTCTTCAAGTAATGTTTTTTTTTCCTGTTATTTAGTACAGTTCTTTGTTCGTGATCCTGTAGCGTCATTATATATAATAAATAATCCTTTTTTTAAGACCTACAGGTTTCATTCGTTTGAATTACCTGTAATCATTAATCTGGGAAAATCTGATTTGATAGTTTCTATATTTCTGAACAAGTGGCCTCCATGGCTTTCGTAGAACAGTCTATATATATGCGTGTCTTTATTTGTGTCTGTGGATATGTGTGCATACGCGTGTGTCTTTATGTAAGTATGTATGTGTGCATGTGCCTAAAACTAAACTAGTTTGCAAATAAACTACCTAAACCATTCAACGTTTCTTTCGCCAATCTTCGTGGTATTCATACCAATTTTTGCAGTATAGAATCGTTTCTTATAGAATGGTCTCCGGTCGTCCTAACCCTCTGTGAAACTAATCTAAACTATTCAATCTCTACCACTGAATTCTCTGTTTCTGGCAACCGTCCTCTCTATCGAAAGTATTCTTGTGTCCACATGCATCAGACTTGGTGACTACATTTGTGAAAATCTCCCAGAGGCAGACCAGGGAATTGTCTCTATAGACTCCAGATTTTTTCCCAGCTTTCACTATTAAACTCGCTTAGTTATCTCTTAATTTTTTTTTTTTTTGTTAACCTTAATCTCTGGACTTCTTCATGCTAGATAGATTATCTGACAGTATAGACAATGCCCTCTATATGTTGGTCTGCGCGTATATTAGATTTTGGTGACTTCAATTTTCATCATGTAAAATGTCTTCATCACTCTAATACCACTGATCTCTCCGGCATTTCAAACTAAGAATTTCCCCATTGCACAAGCTCTCACCCAAATGGTAGATTTTTTTCCCTGTTCGTATCCCTAATAATTATTCGATTTCTTCCTTACCCCCCTCCCCGGATTGTGTCGTACTTGAGAAGTATCTTTTTGACAAATCTGACCACGTGGTATTCGGTTTTAGAAAATTATTTCCGGTCATCCATTAGGCACGAACCCCCTATTAACAAGACATTTCTTTTGTTACCACTCATGTTATGGTTTTCTTTGCAGCTACCCAGGGAAATATAATTTTAATATTCCTTTTGAAAATTCTGCACCTGGATTTCTTCTTGAGCGTGGAAGGAGCTGTCATCGAAGATGTCATGCGAGTATTGAAATAGCAATTGACATCACAATCTAATTCGTTCTCTCCTAACAGTTCAGCCGCTGTTGCCCACGGGAATGACTTGTGGCTCTACCAACTTGTTCGGATCATGGCAGACGCTTCCTTGTATCCGTTCGTAATCA